TATCTATTTTTTGTTATTAGTATTAGTATCTACTTTCATGTATATTTATGTAGTATTATTCTAAATGTTAAAAAAATTAATTATAGTATGGAACCGAACCGAACCGAACCCGAATGGTTCCGAATTATATTTGGAACCGACGGTTCCATTTACTAAATACTCGAAAATTTTTGGAACCGAAAAAAATCGAACCGGACCGATCTGCGCCCACCCCTAGCCTAAATGATGGAATTTGCCCAAAATTGGAAGTGTACCAGGGCTAATTCGCCAAAAACGAACAAACTTGAAATTAAATGAAATTATTACTTTGCCTTCGTCACTTCACTAGTCCACCATTGACCATCGCCACCATCACCATCGATGAGATAAACTAGAGAGAGGGGAAGAGGATTTGTCATACGAATAACGGATTGGTGAAGAGGATCGATTATACAATAATCATAGAAGAAGATGCTTTATTTCATTTTCTGGTAAAGGTGCAATGTGATTATGTGAACACTTTTTATTGAATTACGGATCCCGGTTCTCTCTCCTCCAAGGACATTTCACTTTCCAGTTTTGATGGGATCCAATACATTATTGTTAGATTTTAATTCTTAAAGATTGAACCCAACGTTAAGAACCCAACCTTGAGAGCCCCCCATTGTCCCGTCGTTAGAGAATTGTGGAGGAGGTAAATGTGGGATGTGTTTCAGCAGACCGGATACAAGAGCTACCATACTCGTAAATTTTAATTCTTTATTCGAAGATAGTCCGTGTTTGGTTTACAGTTCTTGTTAAATTTATCTTAAAAGTATTATGAGTTAACATCAAATTGTTAGAAGTTGCAACTAATAAACTACTTGCATAATTAAATTAATAGTTGCAGGCATTTTCAAACTTCAATATCCAAATAAAAATGCTGCTAAGTTGCAATGATAATTTAATTTCCTCCAAACTGCATGGAGGAGATCAAAAGCTATAGTACAATCATTAATTAAAAAGGAATTGACCTTTTTGATGATTTTCAATAGATTTGGGAACCCAAATGGAAGCTGTGGTCAAAGGCCTTGATTTCCAGCACAAAGCCAATCTGCACTGCTCATTTTGCACCCAATAACTCCCACTGAATAAACTCACCAAGAACTTGGCTTGCGTCACATTCCAAGAACTCAGTGGAATTGGCCTAAATCCCTCCAAAGAAGGATATAGTTCTCTTTCCCTTTGCTCACA